ACACACGTGGATATTTGTTTCCCCAGGGACAAAATGCAGCAGCACACCTTGTGCTGCTGCTACTTGTCCTTGGGAAATGCCTGTGCAACGTGCTGTGCCCTCTGGTGTGTAGCAGGTTACCCTGGGTGGTGTAGGGGATGTTGGGCCCAGCAGCTGTGCTGGCCCCAGCAGCCTTGCCTGGAGTCTTGAGGGTGTAGGGGAGCTGCAGCTGTGGTGATCCTGCTACTCAGAGCTTGGCTGCCAGCCAGACTGTGGCTATGGACAGCCAAGCTCCCATTTTTCCCTCACATGCTACCCCACTTTTTTCCTGCAGGTTTTTTGACCCTAGGAGATCCCAGGGTCAAAAACACTTACTACACTGCTACCTTGCATCATGGAGAACACCTGAATGTTGGTGTGTGGTGCCACAGATGGGTCTGCAGCATCACATACCACATGGCCACCTCACCCGGATGCAGCCATAGGGTGCACACAGAAGAGCAGCTCCCCACTGCAACTCATAGTGCTTTGCAGGAAGTGCTATGAGTTGCAATGATCCCCCAGACCAAACAAGTTCTCTGTTGGGTCCAGAAATTGGGGAGTCCAGCTACTTGCTGCCAGCCTGCAGCTTGGCCTCCGTAGCAATGCCACTCCCCACTCCCCACCTGCTGCTGTTTTCAGAATGGGAGTGGGGAAAGGGAGCAGAAGGAGCTTGTTTTTGGGGCTCCCCATCCAGTGCTGGAGGGTGGGGTGGGTGGATTGGAGCCCTCCCACCTTAGGGGGCTCCAGTCCACCCACCTCACCCTCCAGTGTTGGCTGAAAAAAAAACCCAGACTAAACTCCCTACATACCCTTTCCTCCCTCCAATTCTGAAAACAGTGACAGGCTGGGAGCTCTGCAGACACAAGTTATAGAACGTGCTCTGTTTTTGAGGGTGTTTGTCTGAACACTTGTACAATGAGGTTTCAGATTTTCATGGGATCAGGCCCTTTTAAAGCACTCTGTATCCATGCTCTTCTGTTTGGTCATGGCTGTAGTCTGCTTTCTGGAGCCAGATCAGGTAAAAATTGTCACTTCTGTCTGCACCCTATAAGTTATCAAGGGTAGTTAGTCATTGGCCAGTTGGCTGAGTGATGCCCTAATTTTCCATTTCTTTCTCAGATAAAATACCCATGGAAGCCAACCAAAGATTTTTTCTGGGATAAGGAATGCTAAATGAAACACTGAATGATTACAGTGAACAAGCCTGCTTTGGATAGCCATTCATTAATTGGTTAATCATTAGCCTAACTGATGGTTTAGCTGATTTGTGGTTGATGGTTGCTTCATTGGATGGATAATAAAATTATTTACAGACTTTAGAGGCCTCTAAAGTCTGTAAATAATTTTATTATCCATCCAATGAAGC